ATATATATATATATATATATTTGCTTTGTCAGGAAACCTTGGTGAAAACAAACCAGGTTTCCCCCGAGTTGCCATCCTACATTTAGCGGATCTTTGAACTTGCAGCAGCGATGAAAAAAAGTTATGACTGGTCCTTGCGCTTACTATCCCCATAGTCACACGATCTATCTCACACTATGGCCACTGCAAAGAAGGCCCAACAGCACCTGCACTTTCTGAGGTGGCTGAAAAAGAGTGGTTTGGGTGAGAAGTTGCTGGTTACTTTTTACCGGTCTACCATCGAGAACATTTTGGCATACTGTGTAACGGTGTGGTATGCTGGATGCTCTGCAGTGGATAAGAAGATGCTCCAGAGAGTTATAAACACAGCACAAAAAATCATCGGTTGCTCTCTTACTTCTTTGGAAGAGATTGCGAAGACCAGACTCCTCTCTGGAGCACTAAAAATCTCCACAGACCGTTCTCATCCTGAACATTCATATTTCGATCTGTTACCATCAGGGAGGCGTTATAGGTGTCTTAAAATGAGGACTAATAGACCGAGAAACAGTTTCTTTTTCAAGGCAATAATTGTCTTGAATCAAACAGTGCATTTGTGATTTAGTCCTATTATTATTATTATTTTAATTTTTAAATACTCTGTAGTATGATTGTGATGTGGTGTTTGGGGCACCGTGCTGGAGTAGCTTTCAAATTTCATTGTATTTGTGGAATGCAATGACAATAAAGGTATTCTATTCTATTCTGTTCTACTCTCTTCTACTCTCTTCTACTCTCTTCTACTCTACTCTACTCTACTCTACTCTACTCTACTCTACTCTATCAAGATTTGGGTGCTTGGCAAACCAGCATGGATTTGCATCCTGGGGTTCTGGGATTAGTGCCTGCAACCCTTCTCAGCTGGTTTCTGGCAAGCAGAGAGAAGAGCTGGATTTATTTAATGGTTGCGTGGTTCACTTAACAACTTGTAAAGATTCTCTTCTTAACCAGGGCAAAAAAAAAAAAAAAAAAGATTATATAATTGGGTGTGGCTCACCTGTCAGATTTGGGTTAATGTCAGTGTTCCAACTAACCAACTCCAACCCAATAAACTCCGAGACAAGCATTTCCTCAAAGTTCCATTTTATTAGAGTTGTCATACTGGCACATCTGGGAAAACCCGAATTTGAGAGTTCTGGGTTTTCCCTTCCAAAAGAGAAATCAAAAGATCTATCCCCTACACCAGGCATGTCCAAAGTCCGGCCCGAGGGCCAATTTGGCCCGTTTTCAAATTTCAAGTGGCCCGCAGCCTCTTCTCCCTGCTGGCTCAGCCTGTCACTCATCCCCGCCAGCCGGTGTTCTTCCCTTCACCGCACAGCGGTTCCCGTGAATGTCAGGCTGAATGGTCGGCCCCCCATACATTTTAACCTCACCAAATCTGGCCCTCCTTGCAAAAAGTTTGGACGCCCCTGCCCTACACCCACCAGTCCATCACATGCCCCAATCAAATTGGCGTCCCAACTGGAGACCTTCCTCCAGACACTCCTCTCCAGGTGCAGGGCAACATGTCCTTGACTCTCTGAGAAAGAATGTTGTTGAGTCTAATCTTCCATCTCTCTATGAAATTCCCCCCTCCCAAATTCCCAGGCACTGAATGGGGCAGCCTCGAAGCTTCCAAGTAAAAAATGGCTTCCAAGGCTGGCACTGCCTTGCTTAGTGATGGAAATTCTAGCCCCAATTGTGGTCATAAGTCTGGGACAAACCTCTATTAGGAAATGTGAATCCAGCCTGCATGACTGGAGCAAGACAGTTGTTGAGCAAATTTTGACCCATTTTACGTCCTTTCTTGCCAAACGTCCAAATTTTGATCACGGGGATGCTGCAATGGTCATTAAGTGTGAAAAATAGTCTTGTCCCTTTTTTCAGTGCCATCGTAATTTTTTTTTTAAATGTATATATGAAATTTTTTTTTAATAATAAATCCATTCCATTTTAATCGTGTGTCGATTAGGTATATATTTCATGTATTTAACAATTACGAATAATACTCTTCTTATCAGTATAACAATATACCGTCGTAATTTCAAACAGGAACTAAGGTGGTAAGGCAAGGCCTACCTGTACAGTCTATAGCAGGGCTCTGCAACTTTAAACAGAGAGCCATTTGGACCCATTTCCCACAGAAAAAGCCAATAATTTAACAACCAGTGTGACTGAGTGGGTGTGGCAGTCACTCCCACTCAGTCACTCCCACCCAGTCACATGATTCCCCCCCCCAGCCACGCTGTGGCTGGGTTGGGCCAGTGTCTCAGGGCGGAGAGCAAGTCGCGTGTCTCCCCAAGCAACTGAGGCACAACCAGCACCAACAAGGTCCAGAAGAAGCGCCCGCGAGAGCCAGCAAGAGATGAGGCGCCTCATCTCTCCAAGGGATGAAAGGAGGGAGCTGCAGAAGAGGGATAAAAGAGCCACATGCGGCTCTGGAGCTGCGGGTTGCTGACCCTTGTCTATAGCTTTAGGGGTCGGATAATAGCAATAGCACTTATATACTGCTTTATAGCACTTTACAGCTCTCTCTAAGCGGTTTACAGAGTCCGCCTATTGCCCCCAACAATCTGGGTCCTCATTTTACCCACTTCAGAAGGATGGAAGGCTGAGTCAACCTTATTAAGCCTGGTGGGATTTGAACTGCCAAATTGTAGGCAGCCAGCAGAAGTAGCCTGCAGTACTGCACTCTAACCACTGTGCCACAGAGGCTCCTATAATGCTACGCAAAAGCCACTCTTCCTTTGACGAAGGGCAAGACTGTCATTTCTCCAAAAAGGCAGCATGAGCCCAACATGCCCATGCTTCTAGGAAATGCTTGGTCCCACCAAGTCAAAATTTCTGGGAACACAGCAAGATTTGAGGAGAAGATCAAGTTATCGGAGAGCCTGCTAAGGCTAAAACCCTGGGACAGAGTTCACCATATGTCAGGGCTCCTAAATGAGGAGGGTGGGAACTCATGTGTCATGTTGTTTGGTAAACATCTCCAGAACATTAAGACTGTGAGGCTTTGCAAGTGACATAGGAGCGGCTTATTGTGGTTTTCCAAAATGCAAGCAACTTCTCCAGGGGGACCAATTTTTTACATATGTGAGGACACAGCATAAAAACAACACACTTTGCAGTCCCCGGTGCCAAAGCTTATAAGTTCTTCCATAAAAGAGGCATGTAGGCTGATGTATCTATCGCTCTTAAAAAAAACTTTATAGGCCTGTTTTACAGGCACCACCTTGCCAAAACTAAGTATTTCCAAGTCCTACAGATTTAATAAATGATATTCTCTTTAAGTTCCAACTTAAACCGGGGAGTGGGGAGGAGACCTCGTGATATTCCTAGCTGTAGCTGGATTGACTTTGATGAAAAAAATATTTCGGAATTCTTTGCTCAAATCCAGTCTTTTGAGGAAGGTTGAAATCCATGCATTCAGCTGCAGATTCAGTTACTCTGGAGTAAACACCCAGTGTTATCTTATAATCTTTATTATTGTTTCCTGTAGGCACTCTGGACACATTAAAAATTTAATTCTGTTATCTTATAGAGGAGTTGGATGGGGTGAAAATTTAATAAATAAGATTATATAGATAGCAATAGATAGATAAAGATAGATAGATAGATAGATAGATAGATAGATAGATAGATAGATAGATAGA